ATATATATATATACTATATATATATATATATACTATATATATATATATATATATATATATATATATATACTATATATATATATATATATATATATATATATATATATTTATGCCTAAGTGCACGAACATGTTTATGTGTATGTATATGCATCTATTTTTGTATATATATATACATATACATATACATACATATATACATAGGGACTAGCGTACATTCATACAGTCTTTGAATAAATTGTATCTGTTTACACAAATATGTAACAGGAATTGCAGAGTCAAAACTATAAAAGAAATGAGACTATTGTGTTTTCTCCACTGCACACTCGCCTTTGCTGGGTTCGGGAACTTCAGGTGCGGTCTCGACCTCGGGCCTCGCCACAGGCTGTTGTGCACCCTGCCCAATAGCTTGGGGCTGGTTTGCACCCGTTTCTTGCTGTTGCGGTTGCATCCATTGTAGCTTTTCTACCTCCACACGATCCATGTGTACCCAATCCCGTTCCACTTTCAGCGGAAACTTCACATTTTGTGCGAGAGGGTCATCTATGTCCAGAACAGTCATGACTGTTCCGTCCGCACTCGTAGCTGTACATAAAAAACCCCAAAAAACCCATGTAAGTATACGGATGCACGTGTAAGATAATATTACAAGTATAAGGGTAGATCTGTAAGATAACATTACAAGTACAAGGGTGTATGTATATGATAACAGTACAAAGTAGAAGGGTGTATGCATAAGACAACATTACAAATATGAGGATGCATGTATGGTCGTATAGTCACCCAACATGTATGCTTCTTTTCCGGCAACCTTGAACATATACAGCCACAGTGAGCGTTGTCTATCTGAGACAGTCCTACGCTAATAAAGCCGAAGCGAGTCTCGCTCCGGATTCAACCGTAGAGGTTAACGCCCGGACATATACACATCTTACGCCCACTTACACGCACCAGTCACATACCAGATCGTGCAACGGAAACACACACACGCATTCAACGCACTGAACATACACCGGCGATGAGTGATGTAGTGTCCAGAACTTTCACAAACAGACGACATAGGTATCTAGGAACACTCACGGGTAATAGATAAGCACACGCACACTCAACCTACTCTGTACACCTGCATTGGCCTTCCGTACAGGCTTGTCGCGAGCCTTCCCATCCTCCTCGTTCTCCCTCTCTTCATCCACCATCTCCACCACTTTCGGACCGCTGAAGTCCTGCTTCGCCCTGTCCCGTTCGGCTGAATCTGGACCGTTAATGTCCCGTTGCACCTGTTCTGCTTCGGGCGCCTCGTATGCCTTCCGGGGCCCCACTTTTGCCGCCAAAACCTTTGGCTCGAACACGGAATCGTCTGCCTTGGGCTGTGGTCGTTTGGTCTTGGGTTTAACATACGCTGTGGGGTAGTTCAGCGCTTCAACGCTGTCATCTGCAAACAAACGTAAGAATGTTTTGATTCGAGATTTAAACGAATTCGGGAATAAATTTCCGGTTCAGGGAATACTTTTAGGTTTCGTGACAGGTTGATCATCAATGATAGGTTTTGGCTTTGGTGACGAGTTTTAGTGTATTGTATGCTATGGAGCGAACGATAAGTTGAATCTCTTTTGTGGCGTAACCCAAACAATCCAGCTCAAATTTGGAGCGAGATGTGGGTTGAGTGTAGCAAAAGTTTAGAAAGCAAACGTTTCCGTACGCCTTACATCTGCCATATCTTTTGGAGGCCAGCCGTCCAGTACACAATTTAAATACATCTCTCATCACAAACACGCTTGATTACTCACTCGGATATGGAGAAAGGATCCAACACATACACACTCAATGAAACAACGCACCGTGATGAAGCATCCCTCGCAATACGAACATGTGGGTCTCATCACACACGCTCGATTACCCACTCGGATATAAAATAATGAATAGATACATAGACACATTCGATTGACCATGATAACAACAGATCATAGAGATATAAGAACGGTCTCATTAACTACAACATCGCGAGTCTACTGGAGACAAGCCCTATCTTATACCCGGCTATGCAGTACGCTATATACCTACCAGTATGTCCCTATAAGGTTGTACCTACTGTTTCATTCTGCGATATACTTCGAGATATGTGCCGTGTTTACCTTCGTATAGGCCGTCTATGACATCCGACAGTTGTGCACTTTTCTTCGCCTCATCAGCAGCAGTTGCACCGATGGCATTCTCAATCTCTAGTTGCTCAGCTTCCATGGCTGCCCCCTGTGCCGGCTTCTCATTGGCTGCTATTTTTAGCACACCGCCCGTCTTTTTCTTCTCGTCTTTCATCTTCTTCTTGGCCCTGAGCATCGCGATGACCTTGGGATCTATTGCCTCGAATATAGCCTGCCTCTCCTCAAGCAGTTCCTCGGGACTCAGCCCCGCAAGTGTGCTCACATTCTGGTTGTGCATCTCCTCACTGCGGATAAATTCATCCAATCAGATATCAGATTTATTTATAGACTATAAAAAGGAGGTTCAGCCCGTTGTGACAGTGTGCGGTGCGTTTGTGGGTAGGGTATCTCCTCACTACGAGTACAATGGCAGCCAATCACGTGTCAATTATATATAGATGGCCAATAGGGGCTCAGCTATTTATAGTGTAAATGAAGAAGTGACTATACTCTGACTTTGCATCTCCCGCTAAGGTGCCTCATACCCAGCCCATACAATGAATACCAATCGCACACACATGCTTGTGTGCTATATGCGTGCGTACTATAATGAGTGTGTTGATACCTATCGCACACACATGCTTGTGTGCCACAATGGGTGTGCTGATGCGCTCCATGTACATCAGTTAACTGAGCAACTGCTATACTCCAATCGAAACTACTGATGAGCTGTCTTCGTAGAACATGTGTGTGAGGTGTATGTGCCGAAGGATGATTGTTTGAATTCGTAATTGAAAGCGTATTTGAAATATTCCAGTTGTGCAGATTTACGATTGCAGATGTATGCGAATATTGGCTATTTTCAATCGACGTATATCTATACATACATACATACATAATACATACATGCATGTATGTGTGAGTACGCGTCCCTTGGCAAACACCTCTATAAATGAAGCTTATTCTCGCCCAATCTTAAATCCTCATACCCTCGCGTGCCTATATGTAGTCTGTCTTCTGAACAAACATCCTATCGTCTGCATAACATACTCTTCACAATCGGCATTGCGCAGTGACTTGATAAACTCGGTTTTGGCGCGGGCGAGCGGCACGCTACTTTTGCTTGCATTTGATTGGCTCGTGGTTGCCGCGGATGGTCCTGACATTGTATTGGCAGCTGAGCCTAGTATGTAAGCAAGTGTCAAGTGTGTATGTTGTTAGTTGTTTGTAAGTGTGGGTGACTCTTGGTATGCATGCGTGTATTTCTGTTGATATATATATATGTATAAGTGTATGTACACATGCAAACATGAATACAAATGCCACAGACGGGTAATATATATATAATACATTCAAAAAAGTGTAAGTCCTTAGATAGGTAATGTATGTTTCTATGTTAATATCATAGTGTTCGTTCGTATCTACAACACTGTCCATCGATACAAACTGACACGTAGATGTGAGCACAAGCTCAGAAGAAACGCCCTATGGGAACTAGTCCCTTAGCAATATACTGAATGTAAAAACATAGCAACGATCACATAGCAACGAGCACATAGCACTGCTATACCTTGGTAGTACTGAGTAGTCGTATATCAAGACTTCGATGTACTTCATACACACATTAAACAGAATGCACCGCTGCCACACTTATGTGATACATGAAAATACACGCACACAGACACAGACACAGACACAGACACACACACACACACACATATATATTTATATATATGTATATATATATATATATATATACATANATATATATATATATATATATATATATATATATATAGTATATATATATATATTATTATATATATA